ACCTCACAACGGGCAAGGTTCACAACAACGTGATATGCTGTACGGCCCTGGAGCTAGGCACAGAAAATAAATAAATCATCTGCGGACTCACCTTTGGGCAAGCCTGAAGAGAACCACCTCACAACGGGCAAGGTTCACAACAGTCGACGTGATATGATAAGCGATCCGTTGCACACCAGCGGCCATTGCGACTAATCGGCAGGTCACAAAATCTTCAACAGCCAAACCCTCTCTCCCTGGACCGCCATTCGGGATGGAGCACAGTATCCCCGATCACTGACGCCAGGTCGTCCGTCATGGACGTCGAGCCTCAGCCCATCAGGATTAGCCTTTGTGCAATTCACTTCTTTATGATGGTTGTGAACTTCGTGAGTTCCAGCGCCTGAAGTTAATCTACCACACGCTTAAGTTGTTCACACAGGCCATCCAAAGGTGACGGGTGTAACGGGTAAGCCTTTCTATGGTAAATTGTAATCAGACAACCACCGTTGGTAGATAGGAAAGTGACATAAGAAAACGTCTTACTCGTAATGCACTACTCATAAGGTTGCTGAAAATTCGTCGACAACCCATGACCGATTTTGCCCTTCTTGGGACTCTTCAGGTAGGCGCACTCCCCAAGTTTCCGTGTTCTACTTGAAACCAAATTGCACGAAATTACCGAAATACACTCATTTGCAAATTAATTTGGACGGCCGGTACCCACGCCATCTGTGATCAGGAACGTGGAAAGCTTGTATCTAAAGATCACACACTACTTACTTTAAAAAAGACTCAAGTCGGTTGATCGCATACGTACCATCGACATTTACTACGTTTGAGAATAGTCGGAACAGAGCTGTCTGCTGCCAATTGGCAAAGCATATGTGGCCGTGATAGCCTTCCTTGACTGCAACACCAGCACCTGGTCTGTACTAGTCAAGCTTGGCAAGGTCGGAAGGCATATCATATACCACAATAAAACCCAACTACTCGTCATTTACTCGACAGATCTAGTCGACACTTCCGGCGTTAGTCGAATACGTCCTAAGTCTTAAACACCTTGCCCAATCAATCGTCTACAAACTGCTGCACTCCGCACGACGGCATTCCACACTTCAACAGGGCCCTGCGTGTGCATTTTCGGTTAGTCATCGATTCACGGCAAGTCAATCTTACAAAAACTTGGTAACCGTATGATTATGACCGAGAGATGGTTCGCGTGTCTTTTTAGACAAAACCGTACTGGACAACCAGTGCTTCGCGTACTGTTTTTTATTTGCAATTGCGTTAAACTCACTAGCTTCTTCGGATTCCTCGAATTTCCGTAGGTGTCACTGGCCGCCTGCTGCATTTACAGTACACTCACTCATAATGCAATCACAGCTGAGGTTTTTCCCACAGAACTCACAAATATCACATAAGCATATCGTATTTATTGGTCTAACGCCTTCTCAAATGCCTTGAGTGATGGTGACCTGACAGGCGCTAATTTCTCAACAACCATACCTCAAGCCAAATCCGAATTCGTAGCACTACAACTGCAAAAGTTAATGCGCGCAAAAAATTACGAAGGGAAAGTAACTAAAACGAATTCCAACAAAAGTAAGGCAGACAATGGTGGCTTTTGGTTTCCGCATACATACAGAAAAATGCAACATTTTTTACGCAAAAAGTTTTATTCGACGCAACGCGATGTGTGGGGTGACCGGTCAGCAGGGCATCACACACACGACGGCGAACCTTTTATCTCAGTGGTTGAAAGAATCTTCCTTCTTTGTTTCTAACGAAGTTTCGGTAGAGATGAATGCAAGCAAAATGTTTTGTCATTCTTAATAATATTTCTTATGAAGTGATCGCACAGTTCTGTTTCATTTCATTTCTGTCTGAAAAATACCTGCCTAACTTAGCCCAGTTCCAACAACCTATAGAAATACTTGATCGGTTTCTCATTGAGCGCATTTTTTCTCCGTTCACTTCTCCACCATCCCGTTCTTCGACTTTTCTGTCTGACAGCCGCCCAGTCAAACTTGTAATGGCACTGCGGTGGAACACGCGCATCGCCACCATCAGCATCCCTCGAACGGCCTTCCTCAGTAAGCTCCTTGTTTTGCCTATGTATCCTTTTACAGTCCAGACTTAGTTGACCTTAATACTATCTTTCGTAAGTACATCTTTCGACAAAAGTCATGTGAGTCTGCTGTAGGGCCCATGTTAAACACATATTGCTCATTGGTTTCGCATACACACTATGTGTAATCATTACTTCACGTGGAGTGGATGGATTTCTCCGATGGTATGTGTGCCGACAACCTGGTGGTTTCACAAAACTGTAGTCGTATGTCATAACGGTCAAACATCTACCTAAGTACATTCGGACTCGTGCCTCCATCACTCTTTTCGTAATTACTTGTCATCGGCTATTTTCTGGTGGATCATTTAATTTTGTTAAAGTGGTGGTTGAACACTCGTCGTTCATGCGCTTAATTTGCCGATCATTCAATCTCTTTCCTACCATCCCATTGGTATTCCCGTTTTTTAGTTTCAAAGGTCACCTCCAATCTCGTGAATTTCCAGACAGGCTCAGATTCAAGTAGGAATAATTTTTTGGCAGTCTATGTTGATAAGGTTAGATGAACATCTGGGTAGACTTTAATGTGTCTCGTAGTTGGTTGGGCATACGAGGTTAGGAAAGTAAATAAAATTGGGCTTCTGGCACATAGGGTAACCAGTTATTGGTCAATGCAGACAATTTTCTTGTTTCTATGAGACTCATCATTGAGCTTTGTGGAGATCCTAGAACTGCCAATCACTGGGCGTATAATTTGGTCGGTTTTAGTAAAGTTGTGATTGAGTTCCAGAGGGCTCAGACCTGTACCCAATACACCACCTTTTCATCTATCGCATGCAAAACGCCCTGCAAGTCATCCTCTGATAATCGTGATTTTTGACCTTTCACAACTGCAGGTGACGTATTGGTCGGTTAGTTTGGGGAATAAGTTCAGTTCCATCGCTGATAGCAGATGAGTAGAGATGGTACCCCTTCAAACAGTCTGGTCGACCGCCAGCGCGTTACATTCACAATACTATGATGGCACCCGTCCTCGAAATTTGCCAGAATGCGCATTTGGTTACACAGGAGTTGCTTATACAAATACTATCCTACAGGGACCGTTTACAAGCGTGCATGTATATACTTGCTGTACCGTGGGTGGCCCTCTATAGGCTACGCCTGCACTGAGCCTGCCAGACTACGCGATAAGAAGAAGACAGAGAACCATGGACACGACTGTATTGTCAAGACAAAACATACAGAGCTTCTGCGTAAATATGTAGGATGACTACAGGGCCAAATATGGTCTTTAACTTGTTCGTTCTGTACAGCTAATGGCGCTGTTCCGGTCGTGAACAATTTCAGCCCCACTCCATTGATCGTATGTTGCTAAGCCGTATTTGGTGAGCTCTGCCAACGCACCTGCTATCCGAAACTTGTGGTACCGATGACGACCCTTGAGGATGCGTCATTCTCTGCACATGTGATTTTTCATGTTTGGGCGCGTCCTGACAATACTATGATTCCTAAACAGGCGTCATCTATGTAAAAGAAGCTGATCTTGTTGTAGAAGACGTATAGGAGGCCACCGAGCCACTGAACCCAAAGTAGGCTTTCCCACTTTCGCTGCTACATTGCCGGTGGTAATCAGTACCATCGACATTGTATGCTTGCAGGCTTTCGCCGTTTTTTCTATCCGCAGACGATCAGTTATTTCGTTTCCCAGGGTTTCCGGCTGATGAGCTAACCTGGACTTCTCAGGTCACATTTCGACTTCTGTCCAGGCTTGGGCAACCTTGCAGTATCCCATGCCTTGTGCCCCTTCCGCGAAATATGGCAGTTACTCATTGAAAGGGTGATACAGCGGGACGATTTAGGTAACACTTCTCATGTACTTGTTTTTAGGCCAGCTAGCATACTGGGCTTACTAAGTCTGATATTTTATGTATTCTGATTCGTATGGTTGTTTGCAGATACTTCAGTGCATGCCAACAAATTCAGTTGGGACTTGGATTTGTGAACGGGGCGTGCGTGCCTAGGGGGGAATAAACAAAGAAGGTTGTGGACTACTGGCTGAGCTATAAAACCGATAATCTTAGATGTGGTTTGGCAACAGCAGCATCCATTTTATTCAATATCACGACATTTAAACTGTTTTCAGATGCAAACTATTCCACAGATGTCCGTTGATATGTCATCAGTTAGTTTGACTTTGTCAGTTGGTAGTTTCTATCCACATTGTCTGGATGAGTATCTGCGGTTGTAGGCACCTCGAAATGATTCTAGTAAGATGTCCACCTTTACTCTTTTGTTTACAACAAAGCTTTCAAATAAATAATGGTTGTATGGCAGCGAAGCATCATTGTTGAACACTGATGTCGTGCTGTCAATGATGGTGTTGGGTCTCGTTTGAACAGTCTTCCTTCCGTTTTGATACACTTGTTTTGGTAAGTCCGGATCAATGAGCGAAGCGATGAATTTGAGTTAAGGTCTTATTGAAGACAATAAGCAATTTGGAACCTTGCTTTTTTCGATATTCAAACTTCGGACATCCGAAATGCGAAGGTTGCATCTTGTCGTTAGTTTAGTCGCGCATTTGAGTGATGTTATTAGCTTGTCCTTAACTTCGGCTAGTAATTTAATGACTGTTCTATCCTTGTTGACTGACGTCAGCCTGTCAGGACTTCCCGTCGAACAGACGTTCAGAAACTGCTAGACAATTTTACATTGCAGATCAATCGGTCGATACAAGTTCCTTGGGGTCGTCATTCGGGCTTATTTTCACTTGTTATCACGTGAAGTAATGTTCTACTCGGCACCCCTTGTTTCTAGTACAAATCGTCACTCGCATTCGTCATCATGAGGTTTGTCTGCACAATAAAAGCTCCAGGGTTTTCTAATGACCGCTTATCTGATTTGCAACCTCTGCGTCTACTGCACTTCCTCTTTTTCTTACGAAAACAGACAAATGGAACATGCCAGGTCGTTAGGGTCTTCCTCCCTGTCTGATCAGTCATTCCGTCCGGACGTGCAGGCGGACGCAGAACCGATCATAGTAAGTTTTTGCAACTTACCTCATCAGCATCGCGTTACCCTATTCCCATTCGTGGACTTTGTTATTCGCGTGGTACAGCGACTGATGGTAGAGGATTCGTTTTTCCAGAGGGACCGCATTACTCTTTCCCTTGACACTTGAGGTACAGTACTGCTGTGGGTCACCAGCACCATGCGAACAGTTTTCTTCGGCTATCATTTAGCGACCCATGTTTCAGACCATTTTTCTGTTTGCCGAATGGTCACAGACCTTGTTCAAAGCCAGCGGGAACCACCAAATAATGTAAATCCACCGGCATCCAATTGGCAGCTTGATCTTAAGGGAATATGGATGACACCCATTTTGGTCTCTCTAAAGTGAAATCAAGGTGATGTCGCATACTACAACAGATTTTTGGAATACCTGATACTGGTGCGAGTATTACAATGCGACACTGTTTCCAGTAACCAACAATGGTTGTGTTCTTTGGCTTAAAAGCTGTCTGTGATTCTGTGTACCGTCAGGCACTATGCATTGTCTGTGGAGCAAAGGTGTCCCCCATAAATCCTTGACCCTTCTTAAGGTGCTGTACACCAACTCCCGCGGCCGTGTGAAGGTCTATGGGAGGCCCTCTTTTGAGTTCACCACATCAAGTGGTGTCAGACAGGGTTGTCCTCTCTCACCTTCCCTCTTCAACTTCGTTAGTGATACGATCATGAAAGCCTCAATATCAGCCTCTAAGGCCTGTGGGGTCGACGTGCTCCCGAGGCATCCGCTCACAGATATTGGGCACGTTTGGTGTTTGACCACCGATGTTTTTGGAGCATTGCCCGAGTCTGGTGGAAACACCGGAGCAGCAATGCTGAAATCCGTCGAACAGTTTTCGGAAGAAATAACTCGTCCACGATGGGTGAACTGGTCATAATGCATAGCTGGCGCTGGCTTGGCCACGCGCTCAATATACCAGTCGACCGAATTCTTCGATTCTTTTTACAGAACCACGCGAAGGGTGGAAACGAACCAGGTGAGGTCAAATAATGACTTGGCAGGGAAATGTGAAAGACGTTACCAGGAAACTCAGCTGCGCTGGTCATTGCCGTCTCCATGGATGAGAGATGGGC